GAAATAATTAAATACCATAATTAGTTTCAAAATTGTTCAAAAAAAGTCAAATACCATATTATCAAAAAAAGAGTCTAGCGATTGTCTGTTATATTTCCTATATGAAAAACTCAAAATCCTACATTCACATGAAAAATATAACTTTTGTGATTCAACATAATGTAAATATTTACATAAAAAAATGGTCATATTCGAAAACATTATAAATATTTACATCAATACAAATATTAGATACAATATTTAATAACAATATAAATATTCGTAACATAGCATAATTCACATCATAAGAGCATGTATGTTTGTAAAAATATGAATATTCATAATATACATATGTTGGCATGTTCAAACAATGTGAAATTTCATCATACACACGTTGTATATTCATATCAAAATCTACATCGTGAGATTAACATTTAGTATACAAAAAAGGATAAATTACAATACATCCCTTGAGATTTGTTTAAAATACAAATTGTCCCTATGGTTTTAGAAATTACATCTCACTTTCTGCAGTTTATAATTTCATAATAAATGTCTCATTTTATTAATAAATTATTAAGTCAATTAACAGTTTTTAATGATACCAAAAATATATTTCAATTAATAATTTAGGTAATTTTATTATTGTCTAGAAAAGAAGTTATGAATTTCATTTTTCTAGTTAATTCTATTAAATAAAAGATTTTTACAACGGGTATTTGTAATTTTCCAAACTATAGAGGGCAATCCGTATTTTAATTATACCTCAAGGGGTGTATTTGTAATTTACACAGAAAAAAAAGAAAAATAGAAAACAAGAATATTCAACTAACATATATGAACATTCATCAAGAAACTTAACAATTTGAGTGTTTAATTTAAGCCAATGTAAATATTCACACTGTAACATAAAAGATGAAAACACAACTAAAACAAGTAAAAATCAATTTTGATTATTCACATCCTTACTTGTATGAATATTCACATTGTGACATGAAAGACGAAAACGTATCTAAAACAAGTACAAATCGATTTTGAATGTTCAGCCCGTACTTATGTGAATATTCACACTGCGATGTAAAAAGACGAAAACGTAATTGAAACAAATAAGAATTGATTGTTCCGATTGTTCAATGGCAAAAAAACGATTGTCCATCATTGGTCTACCATAAACTCTGGCGAGTCCACCATCGTCGATCTAGCATATTTGATTTCTCTAGGTTATTAAAATAAACCATCTTTCTCTTTTTCACTCCTACATATATGGTACATCCAAAATTGATTATTTTGATTGTTTAATGGAATTTTTTTTTTTTGTTCATTGTCAGGCTAGCTACCATTGTCTCTTGTGAGTTCACCATCGCATCTATCATCGGTCTATTATGACGGTTCCGGTTTAAATCCTACTCATTTAATACTCTTAGATTCGAGATTCAGTACTTTAATTGTTAATCATATCCTTTGTCATAGTGTTAGTAGTCGAGTTGAATTGTTAGTCGTGTTTTAAACAGGTTGAAAGTTAGTTTTTCGAAAGAGTTGTTGTCTAGTTTTCTTCTTGTTTGCTCGAGCGGTTTTTGAGATCTCCCAGTATTTTGCAGGTCAGCAAAAATTCTAGGAGTAGGGTGATCTTAGCTCAAGCGATCTTCTAGTGTTTGCAAAATTTTTGGGAATGGGTCAGTGTGCGCTCGAGCAGTGTCACTTATTGTCTTTGACGCTTGATTGGTGTTTTGCTCGCTCAAGGGGTCTGTGTGTATATCCGTTTGAGAAAATGGATTTTTGAATCACTTTTTCATTCCTCTCTTTCTAAAACATTCCAAAACCCTAGTTCTTCACTTTCTCTCTCTAGTTCTTGCTTAAAACCTCAAATACTCCATCATCCATTGATCTCTTCACCTTTGCTCTTTGGAGAAAAATGTAGAGTTCGTCGAAAGTTTCAATCTAATCGGCAAGGATCTCCTTTTTGGCTCCGCCAAAATTTCACACTTGCTCTCTTCCTCTTCTACTCTTAAGGTAAGGATTTTTTCAACCTCTCGTGTAACTTTTAGCTTAGTTGTTTGCTCTTTGAAAGGATTTAGTGATTTGGGAATTTTTGGGATTAAACCTAGGGTTTGATTTTAAAGTGTAAAAGAGGGATTTTTAAATGGGCGCTTGAGAAAGGCTATGGGGATGTGTTTATGGTTGAGTTATGTTGAAATATGGAATTTCTTTACTTAAATGTGATTTTGAAAGTAAAAGAGATTTTGTTCAAAAAGCATAGATACTTGGTTTATGGAAGAGAAAGGGAAAAAGATGTTGGGTTTTGAAAAGATGAAATGAATATATCTGTTGATGATGACGGTGAAGTTAGATATGTAATATCACTCCCATTTTGAAAATGCTGAGATTATATCTTTTGATGAAAAATTATTTGTTGAGTAAAAACATCTATTTTGCGGTATCAGTGGAGGATAGTCTTGATTGTTGTAGAAATTGCATGAGAATTATGTTAAATTGAAACTAATTTCTCATACATTGTGCATTGAGTATTGTTTCATATATAAATCTTGAAAATGTATTGTTTTTGAGAAAAATGGGTGTATAACTTGGTGAATATGGTTAGGGAGTGTGGTTGTGGTTTATATTGTTGGCTTGTGTGTCCTCGGTGAAAGTCTAGAAACCGGCGTAGTTAGCTGATCTTTCTGGTTAGTACCAATAAAATGGCTTTGGTAATGCTTGTATAGCCTACTGGCAGACACCACTACAAGAATTTACACATTTGCCGACCACATTTGCCGACCACTTTTGCCGACCAAAAAAATTTTAGTCGCAAAAAAATGACATTTGCCGACCAAAATATTAATTAGTCGTAAATGATAATTATTTTTGGCGACCAAAATAAGTTGGTCGCAGAAGGTCACATTTTGGCGACCAAAAATGAGTTAGTCGCAAAAATTGGTATGCTTTTGGCAACCAACTTCAAATTTAGTCGCGGAAGGTTACATTTTGGCGACCAAAAAAAATTAGTCGCCAAATTAATACTTTTAGCGACTAATATTTTAGTCACCGTTGATTGAGATTTGGCGACTAAAAAAATTTGTCGGCAAAGGTACCTTTTCTACGACTAATTTGGTCATTTAGTTGCGAAAAGTTTGGGAGGGAAATTTGAAAGGTGGTGAGGGAAAATGAAAATTTTTTGCGACAAAAAAAAATTTGGTCGCCATTTATAAAACGACGTCGTTTTGTATCCACTCTCCCTAAAAATTTGGTCGCCTTTTCTAAGTGTTGCCATTTATGAACCCTAAACTGCTGCCCCCTTCCAACTCTCTCTCTCTTTCTCTCTCTCTCTCTGTGTCTCTAATGGAGAATGGGGACGAGTGGTTGGTCCCCGAAGAAGCTACAACACATTCTCTTCTGCTTCTCCATCACCATTATTTTCTCTCTCCTCGCTTCCCTAACTTGCTATTCCTTCCTCTGCCGCCAGACCATCTGGTTCGGATCCATCATCTCCCTCTCCGCCGGCGCCGCCAAAGAGGTCACCGACGAGCTTGGCTTCTTCAAGTCGGTCGGAGCCTCCCCCAAAGACGCTGCCACATATTTTGGAAAGCATCCAGCCTCTTATTTTAAGAAGACCCACTTTGGAAAAAGGCCTCCACCGATTTAGAATAAGTTTTACTGGTTTAGTTTTCACGTGTTTTTTTTTTTCTGGTTCTTTTTCTTAGCATAGTTTTGTTTTCACTTTAAATCTTTAAATTCTGCTTATTGAATAGCTGAAGACACTTTTCATTTCATAACCTTCGTTAAGGGTTTAAATAACCTCAAAAATTTTAGTTGAAAGAATTGAATAGGAAAATGAATTTTACATAATAAATGATAATATAAAAATTTATAAAAAATAATAAAAAATGCCTCATATCAAGATTTACGTTAGGCCACATGGAGGGTTAGTCCAGCCCCAATGGCATTCATCTTAGAAATAATTGCCGTCGTGTTTTTTTCCCCCTAGTTTTTCTTTTGTGTGACAAAATAGAGGAAGTTGTGTGCACCACCTATCATGGGGGGAATGCTTGTAATTCTTTGCAAGTGCATTATATTATAGTAAAAATAAAATAAAATTGAGGAGCATTAAAAGGAAGAAAAAAAATCACGGCTATTGGATTCAAAATTTTCATTTTTCAGATTACATCAGTTTGTTTAGTAAGTTCGTCTATTGATTTAGAAATTAGCTTGGGGTTTTTCATATTCTCTTCAACTTATTCTACTATTTATAAATAAGTTCATTGGTTTTGAAATCAAATTACTCTAAAAGAAAGAATTTGGGACGGTGCATTGGTAGTGGTGGTGGTGCCTCAGGGCCTCTAGCTGCTGCTCCTCCTCCTAGTCATGGCTAGTTTGGTCTTAACTATTACCGTCTAAGATGATGAGTGTGAAGTTGCAAGCTAGAATAAGAATCCAAATTTGGATGAGTAATGTGATGTGTAAATACTTTCAATTTGAAGTGCTTTTATGTTTAGGTGTTCTTGCCTAGAGTTATATCTAAACCCTACATTCACTTCCTGTTTCTCAGTTAAATTCTAGTTTCTTAACTTTTTTGATTTTGAAAACCTACAAATAAAAACTATATTCGCACTCTTGAACTCTAACCAGAGAATACTTTTTGATGAGTTTCAATCTATAAAGATGGGGGAAAACGAAGAAAATAAAGTAAGTGAATCGCTTATCCTCAAATTTCTCTTTTTCATCTCAAAACACTTCTAATTATTAAATTATGTCCGAAGGTTTTCGTCCCTCAAGACTTTCACATGACTATCTCCAGGCTATTTCAAGACTTTCATATCGACAATTGTGAAAAATGCATATAAATAAATTTTTATTTTTAAAATAAATAAATAAATTTAAAAACCCTTAAAGAGGATTTATAGGATGTGACAGTCCATTCCCATCTTAACGCAGTGTCCAAACTCAGTAGGTTCAAATTTTCAACAGTATTTGTATGATATGCATGTTATTTAAAGATCGACAATTTCTTCAAATGAATGTACGAATGAGCAAAGTACACATCCAATTTATACTGGCAGCTTCAAAATTGCTGCATTCAGTTTTCCCTCTCACAGACATGGGCTATAATCTTGAACTAACCTAACCCTTGAAGAGAAATATAATTTCAGTGGGAGAAGAAAATACAATTAAGAATTACAACTTCGTCGTTGAAACAACTACTAATACACAATATACAAACAATTCATGAATATGATTGCCAGCCGCAAACTGTTAGTGTAACTGCAACAGCCCTGACTTGATCATGGTTAATGTGCCGTGCCTCCTCATTTTTTTTTTTTTCATCACCTAAAACAAAATGGCATGTCAGTACATTTATGAAATGAAAAATTCTATAATACGTACACAGCCAAGGCCACGTTGGGCCATAACCAAGTTCAAGTTTGGTTACTACCCAATCTGATCACATGGTCTTGGACTGTATGTGATCACATTGGGTCATAAGTCATAGCCCATTGCATTGAATTATAACTCGCGTAGTCACAAGCAACTTTTGATGTAGTCAAAAGTGGGTTGTGAATCATGCGCCCTTTGAGGGGCCATATGAAATACCCAGCTCGAGCCAATTATACAACAAAGTTGCTCAGAGAAATTATTGGGATTCAGTCAATGTAACAATGTTAAAACAGATAATATCAAGAAATGTCAGAGTTAAAAGAATTTGAAAAAAACTAGAATTAAAAACAAAGCATGTATTACATCAGAGAATATATAAAGAATTTGCGAGTCTCCTATATAATAATGAACCATTTGTGAAATTTCCAGTAATTGTTTTGCAACATGACATAAATACGAATAGAAATGAGGCCATATTTTTCAAAAGGCCTCAAAAGCTCAAATAATTTTTCAATAGCAGTCATGACATAGAAGTGTCTTCTGCAGGCCCTCATGGGGGCTGAAAATCCGCCCTTCCATGAGAGAGAGAGAATTTACCTCAATTAACAGGTTGGGCTATGCCAATTGATCCAAAGTGATATAAGCATAGAGTAATTTGATTGATCTATTTAGGCTGGTGGTAGTGGACGCCGGAGATTTAGGATTTTTTTGGCAATTGGTGTTATTAATGATCATAGTTCTTAAAATCATATGACGTACGATTCAAAACTTATAATTTGAGTTTTTTCAAGCCCTAATCAATAAGAAGTGGTTGAGTGAATTGGTGGAGGGCATAAGCCGGTATGTGAACTGATGAATCAATTGAAGTAGAAAAACAAATTAAATATAATTAATGTTGTAGAAACTTTATAAAGCAGAATGTGATAATTCTTGTGTCTTGCTACTTCTTTTTCCTCCTGCTTATGAGTGGATTTGTCATTGTGTGTGTGTTAAATCTCAAATCTCAACTACTAAAATTGTTGGAAACTTGCATTATTCACAAAGATACTACTTCGCCATTGCAAAAGAATTGATGCAGCTCAATGGCACAACCAAGTCTTTGGTAGCAAACCATCTTGCTGAGTCCATAGCAGGAACCAAGCCTCTAAAGGTACGAACTCAGAAGTTTTTATGTTCTTGACTTCTCTGCTGAACTCGTACAAATTTGTCGTCATTGTTTGTCCTTTTCTTTTAGAGTCATTTTTTTTTAACATTCAAAAGAGTTCGTACTAAATTTAACATCATAATTAGTACTTTATGTTTTATTATATGAAATCTGGTTCTGCCCATATCTATAATTCTGCTGACATGTGTTGCTGCTTCAGCATGATGTGTTCTCAACACTCAATTGTTTGTTAATTTAGTAGTTGGAGCTCATTTTTCTATTTCACTTTGGTTTATTTATCAGATTTTTTTAAAGGTTCTATATTATTTTCACTTTCTTAAAATTTAAGTGTTGGACTTTTAAAATTCAAGTGATTAATTTCAATCATGTCTGATATGTTGTCCATTGAAACCAGGAAGATTGTAAAATGCAGCTTACCTTGGAGTTGACACATGAGAAAAGTTGTCATATTCTTGACACTTTGGTTTTAGAGGCTTTGAGGGGCGTCAACATTAAAGAGCTAGAAAATTTTTTACCAAAGACATCAGATGTGTTTCTCTCTGACGATGTTAAAACTACGTGCTCAGTTTTAGCTGATGGCATAATCGTTGGGCTCTATGAATACTTGGCTCCTATGAAAGTATCAGCGGTATCACTCACTCTCTGGTCTTTGCCCCCACCCCCTTTCCCTTAATTTGTCTTTTGTGTGTGTGGAAATGTCGCAACTTTATGAAAATGGATGAATCAAAGTGCTTGTTTTACGCATTTCACTCTTTTAACTTTTTTTTTTGTTCCATATTTGAAATGGCCTTTCTCTAGTTCGTAAGTTGCAGATACACTATTAAGCATGTGGCATGTCCGTGTTGGACACTTCTCGACACGTGTAGAACACACATCCTAACTTTTCCTATTATTATTTTTAAAATTATTTGTAGTACTGAACAAGCTTTGCACAGTTGGGGTTATACATGGTCATTCCCTTAATTTGGGATTGACACATGAGAAAAGTTGTCGTATTCTTGATACTTTGGTTTTAGAGGCTTTGAGGGGCGTCAACATTAAAGAGCTAGAAAAAAATTTACCAAAGACATCAGATGTGTTTCTCTCTGACGATGTTAAAACTGCGTGCTCAGTTTTAGCTGATAGCATAATCGTTGGGCTCTATGAATACTTGGCTCCTATGAAAGCATCAGCGGTATCACTCACTCTCTGGTCTTTGCCCCTACCCCCTTTCCCTTAATTTGTCTTTTGTGTGTGTGGAAATGTCGCAACTTTATGAAAATGGATGAATCAAAGTGCTTGTTTTACGCATTTCACTCTTTTAACTTTTTTTTTTGTTCCATATTTGAAATGGCCTTTCTCTAGTTCGTAAGTTGCAGATACACTATTAAGCATGTGGCATGTCCGTGTTGGACACTTCTCGACACGTGTAGAACACACATCCTAACTTTTCCTATTATTATTTTTAAAATTATTTGCAGATACACTAGTGATTTTATTTATTTATTATAATTTTTTTTCTTTTACCAATCTCAATGGATATTTTGATCCAGGGGTCTTGAAGCAAATCAATTTTCCGGCAGTGTTCCTCCTGAACTCGGGAAACTAAGTAACTTGATAACTTTGTAAGACATGTCATTCCTTTGGAGCTCTTGTAGATTTAATTATTTCTTTGTTTTTGTTATTAAGACTATATTAGGTTTCTTTAACTGGTTGTGCGTCCGTGAAAGCATGTATTAATATGTACCATGTGGAACTCAATTTTTATTTTTTTACGACGGGGAGGAGGTTTTTCAAGTTGGATGAAATCCATAGAATGAGACCATATTAGCTTCTTGTTGTCTTGGGAGGAGGCTTATGGTGTGGGATCTTCGCAGGTTTGCCTTGGACCACTAGTATTTGTTGCTACAGTGTAAATATTTATATTACTCTATTTTAATCTATCTTTTTGTTCTGGAGATAAGTAACACACACAAACACACGAGCATGTCACAGTTGGTATTGAAACCTAGGCATCTTTCTTTGGAAGTGGTAGGAGATACCACTTACTGTCAGTTTAATCAAATGATTTGGTGAGAATACAAAAAGAAGGAGAAGAAAGAACTAAATCTCAAAAGCGAGTTGCTTGCATATGCAATGGACTGGATACTAATCTTACATCCAAATATTCTTTCACACTTTGGCTTGTTAGAAATAAAGATTCTATTCATAAGAAGATGAGTATCACCTGGATTTAACATCAACATAGCTAGGATTTAAAATTAAAAAAACTAGCAACAACATCACACTATATAACAGGGCTTGAACTCAGGACTTTTTTCTTTTTTTTTTTAAGGTTCAAACTCAGGTCTGTTATTTGGGATGGCCCTGCAGGCTATTGGAGATGTCTCCTCCGGAACACCATAGCTAGGTTTTTAAAGCCAACACTTCATCATTGTATTAAATCAATCAAGTTTTGTTTAAACTAAACTAAGTTTTAATGAGGGTAAGAATGCTTTAGAACAAGTTGTTTGATAACAATTCCCTAATACCAGCCATCCTCACAGCTACCTTCCAATGATCAAAACAAACCAATTAAACTCAAACCTGAATTTGAAACTCCAAGCATACAGGCCATCCATATCATCCATGCTGATAACAAATGCTTCCTTCTCCTGTAGGATGGGAAGGTAATCCTCAGCTGCTTTCTGAAATCAAGTTGTCCCATATACCAAAAGGAATTAGCAGTAGATAATTAGTTCAGCACCAAGCTAATATGTTTACATGACAAATTGCATCATGAAATATTAATAAATTGAAAACTACAATGGAAATTGCAATTCAAGTGATTCTCTATGCTACCAATGGGCTTAATAATATAATTTCATATTAGAAAAGATAAATTACAAACCTTTGGGACTATCATTCTCCTGAGGGAGCCTACATCACTTGTCTGAAGCTCCTTCTAAAAAAGAAACCTCAACCTTGTTTGGTCGATTGCCTAAAAGCACAAAGCTATTAGAGAGTCGCCAAATTAAACAAGTAAAGCATCAATTGAAATATAATTAATGCTGAAAGAAACATTGAACTACAGAAAAAAATCTGTGAAAGGACATAATAAAGACACTTCACCGGTAATGACATACATCTAACAATTCCCAAAATGGCAGCCCAAATATTCTTCAACATATAGCATGTCAATGAATCTCATATGGTAAAAAAAATATACCCATTATAGCACATGTAATGTTCTCACCAGAATTAGTGCCGGTATTGTTCATCAACCACTATTTATCTTCACGTTTCTTACATAGAAACATGATAAAAAGTAGCAGTTCACAATTCTAACGGTTCTTGTTTGAATGCAGATAATTAGTTGTTTAAGATTAATGGCGGTTGTTGTTGGTCACCATAATTTAATTGGTAAAAATTAGCACCAACTCTTATCTAACTGCCAGAACTAATTGCTGGAGGTTATCTATGTTTCTATCTGACCACTGCTGATTAAATGTTTTTGATTAAGAGCTGCTGCTAATTTATTTTTGAGGCTAGTGGTGGTTGTCCTGGCTACTGCTTATAGCAGTCCCTTACTAGATATATATATATATATATATTTTTGAACTTATGATAAGCCTATCATCACATGTATGCATATTCTGTAGTCAACAGATCTCTCTCTCTCTCTCTCTCAGTGTGTTTGAACGTGCAAGATCACTAATTGATTTACTTTGATCTGTTTGTTACCCTTGCAGACCAATGAACTGTATCAATTGGCAGCAGTTGCATTCTGCCTACTTGTAGCATGGGCTTGTTTTTTTCCTAATCTCTCTAGATCTTTACGTCCATATTGTTATGCTTACATATCATACCAACTTATTTGCATACTATCATGGTGGAACTCTTTTTTTGGCTTAATAATTTTCTTTCGATTTTTATTTTTTTTTACATTTGTATGTACGAAGTTTGCATGTATGAATTTCAAGCATCTCTGTTTTAATTGTTTGTGTAATTTCAGTGTAGTGATAAGCTTGGTCTACGCTTAGAGCTGGGTTCCTTTGCTGCTGGAGTGATGATATCAACTGATCTTGCTCAGCATACACTCAAACAAGTAAGGCACTTTCTTTGCTTATTTGTCATCAACTATGTACAGATGTGTGACTTTTTTAGTGATATATTATACTTTCTGGTTTGAAATAAATATCTGACTATTTTTTTCTTCTTTCAAAACATGTACATATAATATGTAGAAAATGCTAATAGCCTATATTAGTGTACATTCAAGGGTGGTGGGAAGAATGGACAAGCTATGTATCAAACCCAACCTTTGGCATTGTTTGCGTGAAGTGGCTGCCCTCAGATTATAATATGCAGTCCAAGCATTTATCATTCCACAAAGCAATTTTCCATATATGTGGTTTCTACGTATGTGTATATACAAATAGTGTAAAAGCATACATACCTGTATACAAGCAGTGTAAAAACATACATGAATGAAATGGTAGGTCTATCCCAGAACTTTCAGAATTCATGTCAAATTGAATATAGATTGAGCTGCGATCACTGTAGGTATTAATCACACTTAAAATGTGTGGTCTAAATGTTTATTGTCACAGGTTTTATTAGTTTTAATCACACTTAAAATGTATGATCTAAATGTTATTAATCACACTTAAAAAATGTGATCTAAATGTTATTAATCACACTTAAAAAATGTGATCTAAATGTTATTAATCACACTTAAAAAATGTGATCTAAATGTTATTAATCACACTTAAAAAATGTGATCTAAATGTTATTAATCACACTTAAAAAATGTGATCTAAATGTTATTAATCACACTTAAAAAATGTGATCTAAATGTTATTAATCACACTTAAAAAATGTGATCTAAATGTTATTAATCACACTTAAAAAATGTGATCTAAATGTTATTAATCACACTTAAAAAATGTGATCTAAATGTTATTAATCACACTTAAAAAATGTGATCTAAATGTTATTAATCACACTTAAAAAATGTGATCTAAATGTTATTAATCACACTTAAAAAATGTGATCTAAATGTTATTAATCACACTTAAAAAATGTGATCTAAATGTTATTAATCACACTTAAAAAATGTGATCTAAATGTTATTAATCACACTTAAAAAATGTGATCTAAATGTTATTAATCACACTTAAAAAATGTGATCTAAATGTTATTAATCACACTTAAAAAATGTGATCTAAATGTTATTAATCACACTTAAAAAATGTGATCTAAATGTTATTAATCACACTTAAAAAATGTGATCTAAATGTTATTAATCACACTTAAAAAATGTGATCTAAATGTTATTAATCACACTTAAAAAATGTGATCTAAATGTTATTAATCACACTTAAAAAATGTGATCTAAATGTTATTAATCACACTTAAAAAATGTGATCTAAATGTTATTAATCACACTTAAAAAATGTGATCTAAATGTTATTAATCACACTTAAAAAATGTGATCTAAATGTTATTAATCACACTTAAAAAATGTGATCTAAATGTTATTAATCACACTTAAAAAGTGTGATTAAAAACGATCCTTTTTAATCACACTCTCAAAGATCACGCTTTGAAAAAACTTAAAAAGTGTGATTAAATAATATAGATCACACAAAAAAAGTGTGATCTTTACCTGTTTTTGTAGTAGTGCATTCTTATAGCAACAAAGTAGTTTTTGTAGTAGTGCATTCTAATTTACGATCTCTGTCTCTTTTTTTTTTTTTTTCTTAAGTTTGATTCTAGTATTTATATGAATGTGGTATATGATTTGATTCTTTTCTGAGGAAAATTTCTTGGATTTTGCTGTTGATTTTATGGATTTTAATTAATTATTTGTTTATTTTTAAATTTTTGTCTCACTTGGAATTCTGTGTTTTGTTCCGTCTTCTATGTGAACATCACAGTCAGTTGTCCATTGCCCTTGATGTTTTGTGAGTATATATAAACATTAATTTATATATAGGAGATGTATCTGTTTCCACCTAGTGTAAAATTTTTATTTTACACCCCTCCGTAACTTGTGTGTAAACTTTCACAAATCCTACCGTTGTATTTCACGCTTATCTTTTACCTTTCAATCTTGCCAAATTTCAGTTAAATTGAAGGTCAAGAGTTTTCTAATCCGTATCGCTTTCATACATATAGTCATATTATACACAAAATGCAAGTGTATGGATAGCCTAATTTTTTTTTATTATTATTGTTGATTGATCTAATACTTGGCACGCATGAATGGCAAAAGTTTAGCATGAAATCCATCGGCAGGATTTGTGAAAGGTGGCTTGCATAAAATGTTATAGATGTGTGTAAGAATAAAAATGTCTTACAGCAGGTGTAAATGGATCCCTACCCATATCTATCTATCTTTCTTTGAATAATTGGCGACCAAACTTTTTGGTCGCGAAATGTGTCAATTGGCGACTAAGAAATTTGGTCGGCAAAAGGCGACTTTTCGCGACCAAAGTGTTTTAGCGACAAAATGAATTAGTCGCGGTAATTAAATATTTAGCGACCAAAAATTTAGTCGGCAAATCCAACTTTTGCCGACCAACCAAAATTTTGGTCACGAATTACTTTTGCCGACCCTCAATTGGCGACCAAAGTAGCGACCAAAAAAATTGGTCGCGAATAACTTTTGCCGACCAAAAATTGACTTTTAGCGACCAATTTTTTTGTTGCCAAAAGTGTTAATTCTTGTAGTGCACATACCTAGAGATTCCTAGTGATTTGTATCCACTGCCCTATTTTTTGATATAAAAAGATATTTTCATGAATTGACATATATAATCCTGGCATTACATTGTTTTGAGATGTGTTAGCCCCAAGGTTATTCAACTTTAAATTCCTATTGATATTGATTTTGATTATTGACAAATATTTAAAATTCATTTTATTATTCATGTTTTCAAAATAATAGTATACAAATTGTGCTTTAATGCTTCTAGAAGATTTATGATTCTAGAGTGTTGTTTTTCAATGGTTTTTAACCCCTCAAAACATGAGATTAGCACTTGTTTGCAAAAATCTATTTATTCTTGAAACAGGTCTAAGGGTCGACGCCAGAATAGCAAAGGTCGACACCAAAGTGAAGCTCAAAATGCCCAAATGTTCCAAAAGCAAAGGTCGCCACCAAGACAACAAGGGTCGACACTAAATTTCAGAATGCATTCCAGAAGCAAGGGTCGACACCAAGAACAACAAGGGTCGACACTAAATTTCAGAATGCAATCCAACAGCGAGGGTCGACACTAAATTTCAGAATGTAATCCACCAACAAGGGTCGACACCAAGAATCATAAGGGTCGACACCAGGAACACCTAGAACAAAACTCAGAGAAGAAAAGAAGAGCTAAGGGTTGACGCCTATAAAATCTGGGTTTCAAAAATACAGCTACAAAATTAGATCTGTATTGACGCAGCCCCTTTCTCAATCACTTTTTCAGATTAATGTGCAGAGCATGTCATCTTTTCTGATCCTTGAGCAGATCTTTTGGCACCATATCTTCTCCATGAAGTTGACTTATGAGATTGAGCATTAAATTAAAGCTTGTGCATTTAATGAACCTTCTCTTCCCAAGACCTGCCTACAGTCTGCCTTCTCCATACTCTAATCAAACCCAACTGCAAGATATTTTCCATGATTTGCTCCAATGGCTAGAACATACGGTCGCTACCTCTCTCAAACAACTAGAAGCCATTGATGCTATAAAGAAAAGGCTCTCCTAGTTTGAAATATACACTCCTTCAATACAACAAACCCAGAGCATTCAAGAGCAATCAAGAGCTTTTAATATACTCCGTTGTATTTCCATTTTCACATCTGAGTGAGTCTTAAATTACCTGTGAGCCTACACTTTCATATCCATCTTTTGAGAAAGAATAGTTGTAAAAGAGGACAGTTGTACCCCTTGTTTTTGTTCTTTATTTTCTGAGTGAAACACTTATAAAGTAAGACATTTAGTTGAAAGGTCCTCAACAGATTGAAGTAAGTTGTTTGGTTTGTATTTGAGAAACATGTTTTGAGATAAAAAGTATGAAAATTTGTTTGGTTTGGTTTTTTTTCAAAAGATGTTTTGAAAATTATTTTGAGAGAGTTTTGGAAAAAGTGATTGATTTGATGTGTATGAGAGAAAGATTTGTTTAGAAAATTTGTAAACCAAACAAGTTTTGGAAAACTTTTTTGGGAAAATTTGTTTGGTTTGATTACTTTTGAAAACTTATTTGTAGAGAATTTTTTCCAAAATTTTTTGAGAAACACAAACCAAACAAGGCCTTAGTTTTTGAAATCTATTTTCTAGCCAAATTTTTAATTACCCAATTCACCTCCTTTTGCGTTGCTTTCTTATATAATAATTAGTATCACAGCCTCGTCTCTAGTATTGTGACTTAACAGAGTTAGAGTGATCTATGGCAATCCCTAGCTCTTCTCTTCCTAAAGGTCAAGCCTCAAACCGACCACCCTTCTTCAATGGTACAAACTTCAACTATTGGAAAACCTGTATGATTATGCATATCCAATCTATCGACTATGAGGTTTGGAAAATTATCTGTGATGGTCCTAAAGTCCCTACCAAAGCCATAGATGGTCTGTTAGTTTCCAAACTTGAGAGTGAGTGGACTAGTACTAATTATAAGGATATTCAATCCAATGCCAAAGCTGTTAATATGTTGTATTGTGCACTTGATGCTACTGAGTTTAATAGAATATGCACTTGTACAACGGCGAAAGAAATTTGGGATAAGCTTATTGTAACTCATGAGGGAACAACTCAAGTCAAAGAGTCTAGAGTAAGTTTGTTTGTTCATAACTATGAGCTATTCAAGATGAAACCTGATGAGAACATATTCCAAATGTTCACTCGTTTTATGGATATCATAAACAGTCTTTAATCTCTTGGGAATACTTATACGAATGCAGAAATTATTAGAAAAGTTTTCCGTTCACTGCCAAAAAGTTGGGAAAACAAAGTTATAGCAGTGATAGAAGCAAGAGACTTGTCAACATTAAGTTTTGGTGAGTTAATGGGATCTCTCCTAACCCATGAGATCACATGCAAGAAGGAAAAAGAAGAAGAAGACAAGAATAAAAAGAAAGGGATAGCTTTCAAGTCTACCTCAAAATCTCAAGAGAAAGAAGAAGATGCTTCAGAGGAAGATGAGGAAATGGCTTTCATTACCAAAAGGTTCAAAAAATTTGTGAAGAAGAAACAAGGTGTAAGGAAATTCTTCAAAAAAGACTTCAACAAAGATTTTCAAAAAGGAGAAGGTTTTAAAAAATCTAAAGTTACTTACTACGAATGCAACAAGCCGGGACACTACAAATCAGAATGTCTAGAGCTCAAAAAACAATTCAAGAAGGACAAGCATAAGGCCATGATCGCAGCATGGGGAGAAGATAGTGATGACAGCGACTCAGAGACTAATATTTGCAAAAATAAAGTCGCAAACTTATGCTTGATGGCACTTGAAGATGAAAATGAGGTAAATGATGACTTCTTTACCGTTGATGAATTACAAACTGCTTTTGATGAATTACATGCTGAATTTAAAAAAATTAAGTATGAAAAGTAGTTGTCAAAAGAAAATGATCTTTAGTTTATCTCAAGAAAAGGAATCCTTGACTTCTAAGATCAATACTTTAGAAAATGAAGTCTTGACAATGGAAAAGGAGAAAGAATTTTCAAATGAAAAAGAATTTTTCATTTTTGAAAAGAAAGTAGATGATTTGCAAAAAGAAAATGAAACTTTGAAAAAGGAGAAAATTGTTTTAAATGAAAACATAGAAGATTTAAAAAATATTCTTTCAAAATTTACTCAAGGTACCTTAGATAAAATTCTCAAAAGTCAAAATCAAATCTTTGGAAGAATGGGAATTGGATATAAACTTTTTTCAAAAGCAAAAAATTCCAAAATTACCTTTGTTCATGCATCATCTTACCATTTTCATCTCACATGTCATTATTGTGGAAGAAAATGTCACATCTCTCCTTCATGTCCTACTAAGAGAAACTCATTTGATAGAATGAAAAAGAAGTGGGTTTCCAAAAACACTACAACTCCTAACTCTCATGGACCCAAGAAAGAATGGGTATCAAAAGGCCAACAAAAATCTGATTTTTGCAGGTGTACATTAGGTCAAAATCCGACAACAACTGATGGTACCTTGATAGTGTGTACTCAAGGCACATGACCGGCGATAGAGCAATGTTCTCAACCCTTAAATCCAAAGAAGGAGGTCACGTAACCTTTGGAGACAATAGTAAGGGAAAGATCATTGGCGAAGGTAGTATTGGTAAAACTTCTTCACCAATCATCGAAAATGTGTTGCTTGTTGAAGGATTGAAGCATAACTTGCTTAGTATTAGTCAAATGTGTGATAAAGGTAATCATGTTACTTTTGAAAAATCCCACTGCACCATTAAAAATTTTACTGATAACAAAGTTCTTTTTGTTGGTCATGGGCATGAAAATGTGTATATCTGATTTGCATAGTTTATCTCCTAATCATGATGTTAAGTGCTTATCTACTACAAATGAATCTAGCTGGCTATGGCATAGAAGGCTAGGACATGCTCATATGGATTTGCTTTCAAAACTTTCTAAACTTGACTTGGTTGTTGGTTTACCAAAAATTGATTTTGAAAAAGATAGGCTTTGTGATGCTTGTCAACAAGGAAAGCAAACAAGAGTTTCTTTCAAATCCAAAAATATTATTTCTACTTCTAGACCTCTTCAATTATTGCATATTGACTTGTTCGAACCTTTTAGAACTTTAAGTTTTGGTGGTAAATCTTATTGTCTTGTTTGTGTGGATGACTATACTAGATTCACTTGGGTGATTTTCTTGGCACCCAAAAGTGATACTTTTTCTGCATTTTCAACTCTATGTAAACCTATTCAAAATGTGATTAGTCTTTCTATTTGTAGCATTTGGAGTGATCATGGTAGAGAATTTGATAATGATGAGTTTATTCTATTTTGTAATGAGCATGGCATTGATCATAATTTTTCTGCTCCTCGAACTCCTTAATAAAATGGTGTGGTAGAAAGAAAAAATAGAGTTCTTGAGGAAATGGCTCGGACTATGCTTTGTGAAAATAATTTGCCAATATATTTTTGGGCGAAAGCCGTTAACACTGCTTGCTATGTTATTAATCATGCCATGATTAGACCCATACTTAAGAAAACGCCATATGAATTGTGGAAAGGAAGAAAACCCAACATTGGTCTGCATTTGGTTGTAAATGTTTTGTACTTAATAACAATAAAGAAAATCTTGGAAAATTTGATGCAAAATTTGATGAAGCCGTGTTTCTTGGCTATGCAAAATCTAGTAAAGCTTATCATATCTTTAATAAAAGAACTTTACTCGTTGAAGAGTCTATATACGTTGCTTTTGATGAATCTAACTCCTTTGCTTCCAAGAATATTGTTAATGATGATATTGCAGATTTTAATCCAAGAATTGAAGTCATTTACTTATTGAAAAATGATGAACTTCATTCTTCGGAACCTAAGGTTGAAGTCTCTATGGAAGATCTTCAAAAAGAGTATGCTCATCCAGCGAAGGAAAATGATCTACCCAAGGAATGGAAGTATGCTCATGGACATCCCAAAGATCTCATTATAGGAGATGCCATGCAAGGTGTAAGAACTCATTCTTTTATTCATAATGTATGTGGCAATTTAGCTTTTGTTTGTCAAATTGAGCCAAAAACTTTTTCTGAGGCTGAATACGATGAAAACTAGATTTTTGCTATGCAAGAAGAGTTAAATCAGTTTGAAAGAAATGAAGTTTGGTTTTTAACTCCTCGTTCTAAGGATCATTCCGTTATTGGAACAAAATGGGTTTTTCGAAACAAAATGAATGAATTCGGTGTTGTTATTAGGAACAAAGCTAGACTTGTAGCCCAAGGTCATAACCAAAAAGAAAACATTGATTTTGATGAAACTTTTGCACCCGTTGCATGTCTTGAAGCCATTCACATGTTGCTTGCATTTGCTTGTTTTAGAAATTTTAATCTTTACCAAATGGATGTGAAAAATGCTTTTGTAAATAGGTTGATTTCAGGGGAAGTGTATGATGAACAACCTCCTGGTTTCGAAGATCACAAACACTCGGACCACGTTTATAAACTTTCAAAAGCTTTGTATGGTTTGAAATAAGCCCCTAGAGCTTGGTATGAACGCTTAAGCAACTTTCTGAGTGAAAAAGGTTTTTCTCGTAGGAAAATTGATACCACTCTTTTTATAAAAACAAAAAATGATGATACGCTTATTGTTCAAATTTATGTTGATGATATCATATTCGGAGCTACTAATGAATCTTTGTGCAAGGAATTTGCTAAGGATATGCAGGGAGAATTTGAAATGAGTATGATGGGAGAGTTGACATACTTTCTTGGATTACAAATAAAACAAACCTAAGATGAAATCCATTTATCTCAAGCCAAATATATCAAGGATCCCCTCAAAAGATTTGAAATAGACTTGTCCAAACCCGCAGCAACTCCCATGAGCACATCGATGAAAATTGACAAAGATGAGCAAGGTAAACCGGTAAATGAAAAGAAATACCGAGGTATGATTGGCTCTTTACTCTATCTAACAGCTAGTACACCCGATTTCATGTTTAGTGTGTGTATGTGTGCACGTTTTCAATCGGCTCCAAAAGAATCACATGTCACCGCAGTGAAATACGTTTTTAAATATCTTGTTGGCACTCCACTTTTGGGTCTTTGGTACCCTAAAACAAATGTTTTTGACCTTTATGGTTACTCGAATGCCGACTTTGCGGGATGTAGACTTGACCGAAAAAGCACTAGTGGCACTTGTCATTTTTTTGGAAATTCACTCACATCATGGTTTTGTAAAAAACAAAATTCTGTGGCTTTATCTACAGTTGAAGCGAAATATATTGCCACCGCTAGTTGTTGTGCTCAAATGCTTTGGTTGAAACAACAACTTCTTGATTTTGGACTTCACTATGATCATATTCCTATTAAATGCGATAACACTAGTGTCATTAATCTTTCAAAAAATCCAATAGAGCACTAACGCACTAAAAACATTGAAATGAGGCATTATTTTCTATGAGATCATGTACTTAAAGGTGACATCGAACTCGAATTTGTGCCTACAAGCCAACAGTTGGATGATATCTTTACTAAGCATCTCAATGAGGAATAATTCTACTTTATTAGAATTGAGCTTGGCATGTTAAATATTCCTATGTGATGTTAAACTATGTGTTATTATGTTTCTTTGCAAAATTTGCTGAGTAAAACACTAGTTTTTGCCTTACAGGGCCTTTAAGGATTGACCCTCTGCTTTATAGGGTCGACACCTTGTGAACCAGCCTTGTACTTTTTATTGTTAAGGGTCTACACCCTTCTTCGAAGGTGTCGACACCTATTGGATTTGAGGATTCCGCTTTTTAGTGTTAACCCCCCTTCTCTCTAAGGGACAACCCCTCTCTTCACAAGGGTCGACACCCTCTCAAGGGTACCGGGACCCTTCCTTTTTCCCCTGCGACACCTCACATTACCTAGCCCTAGCCCCTCTTCCTATTCTGGTGATTTTCTCCAATGATCCACATTCTGATCCTCTTCTATCTCTCTCGCGATCTCTATTCCTCCTCTTTATGGACTCTTAAGCACCTCTTCCTATTCCAACACGGAAGCGACCACACACCTCCTCCTCTTCCACAGCCATCGCTGGTTCTCCTCCCATGCTTCGCTTCAAGAACCCTGAGTGCAGATCAACCTTCAACAAGGACTTCAATCTACGCAAGGTAATCTCTAGTCACAAAATAGATATCGCATTCTTTGACAAACACTCTATTCCCGTGAAAGCTTGGTTTGATAACCAAAAATGGCCATCTCTATTAAAACTCAACAGTGATATCTATCCTATTCTCATTAAAGAGTTTTTTTTTTTTGCAAATCTCTCCTATGATGAGGACACTTCTCATTGTACCCTCGGCTGCTTTGTTAAGGGTGTCTCTTTCACTCTAACACCCTCTGTCATTAACTTCATTTTGAAAACCTCCAATGATGGACATAGGGTCAATCCATTAGTCACTCTTAGGCTACCCTAATACACTCATCTTACTGGTCTTCATTTTCTCACCAGTATCCCTGATTTAATTGATCACATCACTGTCTGTGGGAAAGACCTTTCCCTTGAAATGAGGCTGTTACACCACATCATCACTCACAACATTATTCCACGTTCCAGCCGCTTTGATGCCGTCACATATGGTCACACTTACCTCATTTGGGCCCTATCAACTGGTTTTCTTATTGACTTTAGTTTTTTGGTTGTCCACTGTATCAAAAATGCCCATAAACAAAATAATCAAACCCTTTCCTATGGCATGATTTTCACAAAGATTTTCAAACACTTCAAAGTTGATCTAAAGGGAGAAGAAAAAGTCCCTTGAGAATCCTCTTGTTATGGGGCTGAAACTCTGAGGAATATGTGATATTCTTGGGTCAATAACATTTGGACCAAGACCAAGAAAACTGGCTCTTCCCTTGGTCTCTCTACCCCTGGCTCTTCCCTTCCCA